TCAACTACAGCAAGCGTTGGCGGTGGTAGGGAACTTGGAGCCATAGGCTCTATTTTCTTAGTCGGAATTTTGAATGTTTCTTCGTAATTTTGTGTAGGTGCTGCCTCCACTAATACCTGTAATATGTTTGTAGAAGACACTGCCTCCTTGGCCTTTTCTTGCGGTTGCATCTGATGGCGAAAAAGTGATTTGTACAAATACATTTTACGTAAGTTATTGCCTTTGTTACACTGTATGGAAAATTACACTAAAGTCAATTTTCTATGTAAAATAAGGATTTTTATTAAAATTTATACATATATGCCAAAAAATGTTATAAAAAATTTTGTGACACTGCGTGCAGGAAAGTCGTATGAAAGCAGTAAAATCATTTTGACTTTTTGAAATATATCGATGATCCTCTGCAATAACGACAAAATTAAATATTTGAAAAATAAAAACTTTCTACTGTTAAGTGGCTCATGCCTCTAATCCTTTTCCAATCCTAGTGATGTTGTAATCCTTACTACTTAATTTAGTGAGTTAGACGTGGATTAGACAAGTAGTAGTGGTAGTATATTTATTTAGCTTTAAGCTATTTTTTACAATTCGTACTTAGTACTATAGAAATATACATACATGTTCCATTTGTGTTTAAGGATGGTTATACAAAATTTTCTTTAACCCAATTTGATAGGATTAGAGCATGGGCCACTTAACAGTAGAAAGGGAGTTTATTATATGAATTTAAATTGTGTGGTTATTGCAGAGGACCATCGCACAGTGGTCAATAAATGGAATTTAATGAAGTAAATATTTTAAAAAATAATTCGTATGTTATAAAAACAATTTCACCAAAAGCATTTTTTTTTGTTTTTTGGTTTTTATACAGTTTTTGGGTATGCAATTTTATAGATCATTTAATTTTAGTATAATAAAGTAGGGGCTAAGAGTTCGCGTTGATGTTTAATAGTTTGTTTGTTAACATTTCGATCACATCTGCATGCATCCGAACTCTTAATCACTTGCAACTTGCACTTTATTATCCTAAAATTTGATGATCTATAAAACTGCATACCCAAAATTTTTATAAAAAACAAAAACAAGAAAAAAAGTAATTTTGGTGAAAACTTTTTTGTATGTCAAATCATTTTTTTCCCCGTTTGGGAGAACCGTACAATTGTTTTCAACTAGTTTTTATATGTAAAATTTATTAAATCAAACAGGAGAATCGATCTTCTAAAAATTGCCACTTTTTCTGCACTTTGCACTAAAAAATTTAACACAAACAAATCAAAAATCAAAAATCGGGCTCAACTAGTCTCTGGCAAATCTTATAAGCTTTTGTTAAAAAAAGCCCCCCCCCTCTTTCACCCCCCTACAGACCCCTTGGGAGCTGTGTGAAAATAGGGGAAACTGGGATTTTTCCCAAAAGGATTATAACCCTCACTACTCCTTCCTCTGTTGTCGAAGGGGGGCTGTATACCTTATGCAAAGAGCACCTTTCTGCGTGGGCAGCTTTCGGCCGCACTTAGGGATTATAACCCTCACTAAGTAGAATTTTCCTTTCTGTTTTGCCGAAGAAACGGGAATGAACACCTTTCGCAAAGTTATTTCGTGGATATTTTTTCTTTGGCAGCTCAGTTCGGAAATTTGCAAAAAATTCCATATTTACAACCGACATTATTAATAAATTAGTGCACAGATATAGTAAATTTTATTTTTGTAATAAAGCGTGAACGCTTGTCTACAAGCACAGCACCCCAAAATCGATGTACAAATATGAAAACAGTACCCAAGAAAATAATTACATTGGTTGAGAAATAAGGCTCCAGTAATTATGAACATTAAATTTCATTTATTGACCACTATGCACCGATATGAAGAATTTTTATATCAACGACGTTTGTTTAGTTCCGTGTTTTGAACAATAATCTAATAATATGTGCTCCCAATGGGGAAACTCCCCATGTAGCCGATGGTTAAAGAGATGGGAGGAGGGTGCGGGGCGTGATACCGCCATTGACAATAATGCAACCCTGACCCGTAGGCTTTCTATGGGTCTCTAGGAAGCTCGAAACTTTGTGTTTACTTGCGTTTTGGCCTCTTTTGATAAAATTAAAGCACAGTACTTTCGCGCAGAACTCTCTTCCGCGTTGGCTGCTTTCGGCATCAATCTAACTCCGGCCAAGTTACCTTCCGCGTAGGCGACTATCGGCCACGCTTAAAAAAAATTGCTTTGTGAGTTCAAGTCCCGCTTCTGTAGTCATAGCATTTTCGCACAGAACTCTATTGCGTGGAGATTTAGGATCAGTTTTTTTTAAGGGAAAGGGAAGGTTCATAAACAGCCACTGATGGTATCTCAACTATTTTATTCTATAAATTTAGCTAACATTAAATAATACACATCTTAAAAAAGGTTTCAACAAACGTGTGTATGTGAAAAACATTAATTTCGGGCAATTACAGGAAATTTATCGAAAAAATAAAATCATTTTTTTTTTATTTTTTTGGTGGAAACACATCATCGATTCTGGTTCAGATTTCTACGTCAATGGAATGACCCAGATGTTTAGGTGGCAGAATTTTCACGCTTTTATAACATTGTCTACTTTTATATTTTTTTCATCAATGCAAACGGCTCAAAAAAGTCAAATTTTAAAACTTTTCTTGCATTGCTTTTTAATAATAAAAGTTCAATATGTATAGTACCTACGTATTCAAAAAAAAAAAAAAACTTACCTCCGAAGACATCAACTGATCTTCCGAATTTCGGTTAGCTAAAATGTTTTTTTCCATGGCCAACGTCTCATCGCTACTCAAATCAGTAGACGGCTTCCTTTCTATACAAACCTTTTCAGAGCCCTCCTTTGCAGAATCCATAATTACATCTCCGCAGTCTTCTTCCCACATTTTTATTGCAACTGTAGCATTTTGCATAATTTTTAATGTTAATGCAGAATTAGATTTAACATCTTCGACATTTTTCGTGGAAAGATTATCGTGTACAGGTGTTGGGGGCGGTGGTGGAGGAATGTCAAAATCCTTTCTTACAGGTGTATGCATAGCGTTTTCAACACACTGTGCTCCTTCTGTCGATTCTCTAGTTACCTCAGTGACCAGAGATGATTCTACAAGAACCTCTGGAACACCTTTGTCTTTAATATCTTCCGAATCATTTTCACCTGATTTGGACACCAAATGCGTTACTCCAGCACCCATATGTGACGATTCAGTCATGACGAAGTTCTGGCAAGATACTTTTAGAAACAGTTAAACCATAATGCATTTGAATTAACGTTATCCTCTATATATATGCTTACCTGGACAGCAAAAAGAGCACTAGCGAAATCCGAATCCACTTTAAATTGGTCACAGAATATTTAAAAGAAATATATTTTAAAAAGACAACTTTAGCACTAAAGGAAACTCGTAAAACTTTTTGTAAATTTTCAAATTAATTAAGCAACAAATTGCGCAGAATGTCACACGAAATGTCAAGAAGAATCTGGCAATTTACCGTTTTATTTGGTTTTGTATTTTTTTTGCGCTTTGCTACTTTGGAAAGTAGCTGTTAAATTCCAGCAAAGGAAATTTAGAGAGTTGCCCATTTAATCCATAGCTTTGTTTCTTTAATTTTCTAGCAGCCAAAGAACGTAAATGTATAAGAAGCGACAACTCGTTAAAGTCGGCGAGTGAGGTCTGAAAGGTTGAGATGAGGAGTTCGCGTCCGTTTTAACATCCATTTTCGTAAATGAATTCGCCGCACATATGGTTTCGCGGCGATAAAGAACGTTNCAGCTAATTATCAGAAAGAAGAAGAATGGGAAAATTGAGACAATGCCAAACCAGTAACACCACCTTGTATAAATTCGCCTTGTTCGCCACGAAATCAAATTTACGGCGAATTCATTTACGAAACTGATGTCAAAAGGGACGCGAATTCCCCTTGCACACTTCTAGACTCACTCGCCACACATCAGCGAGTTGTCTCTTATAGGGCCTAATGGGCCCTGTCCCACGGTCAGTATTTATTGACGTAGTCCAAGTATCGCGATATTTATTGACGGTATAGCATGCAGTATTGATGGATCGTGATCCATATAGTAAAATTCCTAAAAATTTTTAAATCTGGATCGCGGATCGCAATATTCCCTGCAAAAATCGTGGGACCATGTAGTCTATTTGTGGTAAATTGGAGTACTTACAAAAGTGTTCCTCTGTCATGCTGTAGCGGACCAACTCGTGTCTCTGCGCCAGCTTATTGTTTGTTATCCGATCACTGCTCGTGTTTTAACGAAATGTGATTGAAGTAGAGCATTTGAAAGCACATTTGCATGTCTGGCTGTAGCTGAACCTGTAGGGATGCTCGTTGTTAGTTCTTAGCTCCCAGCATGTTCTGGTTCGAATGCCGTCAGAGGCAAAATGTAATTTTTAATTTTTGTCTTGGTTTTTATTAATTTCGAAAAAGCATTTGAGAAGTGAAGAACAAAAGCGTGTACAAACGAAAAAATATAACAGCAATGCCATTGTTAATATGTTGGAGTGGTTTTGTGCTACTCTGATGTAATGCAGGGATGGAGTATATGGTCCTGCCCTAGGACATCGCAATGTTAATTGGACCATATTTTTTATATGAATTGTGGTTAATTTTGGAGTACTCCTTGGTCCTTAGGGAGTACTCTTTACACGCATGCATGGAGTAGTCGCGATCTTTGCAGGGTTGTCAATAAATATTGAACGTGTAGCACTTTCAAAACGCGATCCATACATTTCGTCAGTATATCTTGTACTCTCATAATGCGAACATCGAAAACGTATTCGCTATTCCTTCGTTTTCGTTGCTTAAAACCTTACAAAACAAGTTGAAAAAATTGTAATTAACATTGGAAATTTTAAAATAATTGTGGAATGCATTAAGTTGAAATCCGGCTGCTGGCCTATGTAAACTCGTTGTTACCATAAATCGTACGTGATTTAAAACAAACAAACCCTGCTTGACCATTTAGCAATCACGACGCTTGCAACCCTGCTTGGTAAAACGTCAAGCTTGGATTTTGTACGCCATTTGTTAAAAATTTCTACACCAGGGAAAATACTGCCTGACGCAAAAATTAGTAAATTTAATTAGAAAATCAGCTTAGGCTGCACTGAACTGGCAAAGGTTGCGATTATTTTGCTAATTTAACTGTATGGACTTTTAAGGTAGGTTTTTTTTTACTTCGGAAAACTAACCAAATTTTTAACCTCATTTTTTACCCAGGTTTGTATTGGTAGACGCTCCGTTGGACCAGGTAAAAGGTAATAGACAAAATGACTCAATATCTACCGCCGAATTTGTTGGCGCTATTTGCCGCCCGTGATCCAATACCTTTTATGCCACCAGTGGATAAGTTGCCACATGAAAAGAAATCTCGTGGTTATCTTGGTATTGGTGGTTTCCTTGGTGAGTTTGAAGACCCAAAAGACACGCCGCCTGCAAAGCGCGTTGAGACTCGTCAAGAACGTTTGGAACGTCGGCGTAGGGAGAAGGCAGAACAAGTTGCTTATAAATTGGAACGAGAAATAGCACTGTGGGATCCGCAAGAAATCAAAAACGCAACAGAAGATCCATTTCGCACATTGTTTGTGGCACGTATTAATTATGACACTTCTGAATCAAAATTGAGACGTGAGTTTGAAATTTATGGACCTATCAAAAAAATAGTTATGATAACGGATCAAGAATCGAGTAAGCCCAAAGGTTATGCATTCATCGAATATGAACATGAACGAGATATGCATGCCGCCTACAAACATGCAGATGGTAAGAAAATCGATAGTAAGCGTGTATTGGTTGACGTAGAACGCGCACGTACGGTAAAAGGATGGTTACCACGCCGTTTGGGTGGTGGCTTGGGAGGAACACGTAGAGGTGGTAATGATGTCAACATCAAGCACTCTGGTAGAGAGGACAATGAAAGGGAACGTGAACGCTACCGTCTCGAGCGGGAGCGCGAAGATCGCGAAACCGTAAGAGTTGTAGAACGTAATCGTTTCGGCAGTGTTGACCCTGTGCGGCGTCGTTCGCGTTCTCGAGAACGCTTACGTGAACGTGAAAGGGAGCGCTCAAGACGTTCGCGCAGCAAATCACGTGAGCGGAGGAGAAGGCGAGGTGGTAGTCGTGAACGCGAATATGACGATGTCGAAAAACGTGACAGACGCGAGAAAGATCGTGAGCGCGATCGTGAACGTGAACGCGAAAGAGATAAGAAGAAGAGACGCTCCAAATCCAGGGAGCGTGATTCATCCAGAGAGAGACGTGATAAGAAACGTGAGCGCGATCGCCGTGACAAGGACCGCGATCGTGGAGATCGTGACATTAAGGAACGTAAGCCGGACTTCCGTGACATCGATATTAAGATCAAGGAAGAACCAATAGATGATGGTTATCCAACTTATCCTATGAATTCCTATCAAACGTCTGGTATAAAGCGAGAAGACGACGAAGAGCAGGAAGAAAAATTCCGGCCACCGCAAGATATGTTCAGCGTTCCACCACCCCCAATACCTGGACGTGGTCTTGGTGAGAATGGACAGAACCCCAATGATGGTCAGCAATCATGGTGGCGTTGAGGTTTATTTGTATATTACAAAATGGATAGTAACAGTTATTTTCCACTTTCCATATTTTACCACAATTTTCAATTTAGCGTTTGAACTAATGCAAATTCGAGATTTACATGATAGGTACAAAATTTTATTATGATCTTAAAAATATTGACAGATTAATCAATTGCCCATTGATTTGTTGGCTATAGTAAATCGTTTCTTCAAATTTTATTAATCATAGTGCAAACGCTAAAGTTTTAATAGTTTTAAATTATTAGGGCAAACAATATTTGAAATTCCAATACATACATACCTACCAACACATTTTCGTCTTGCTTCCGCGGCGGGCTAGAATCCACAAACAGAAAACTTTCGAAAAAAATATACATAGTATGTATGAAAAGCCAATTATGTCGAGACTATCAAATCATTTTCTTTTGGACTCAAGGCGAATTTATATATGAATTCTCCTTGGTTTGGACTGTGGAAATTTTAGTCTCCATAGAATTATTAATAGATACATTTTTAAATTTACAAACTCGATTTTTCTTGCTTTTCGGTTGTTTTTATTAGTAACAAGTGGCTACGTTTTTAAAAACTGAATTAGTAAATTTAACTTTTGTTTGTAAATTTAATCGAAAATTGGACGCTGATATATGTATATTTGAATTAAAATTTTGTTTGCTGCACTTAATATAATTAAACATATATAAATTAATATGTAATTTAAACATATAAAACGTAATAATCGCAACCGTAATGTAAGGAAGAAGATCCAAAATGCAAAGAGTAAGTAAAAAAAAAGAATTGGAGACTATTGTTTTTACTTGCGGCAACCTGCACCCAAATGTTTTGGAGTTCTACACTTGAGAGAAACCACACTAAACCCAAAGCAGCCTGCAAAACAGAACCAGAGTTTCCGGCAGAAAGTTGGAGAAGCAAGTAAAAATGCCTTGCCTGTGTTTGGAGTCAGTGAGTAAATTGTGTAGAAGGTAGTAAGCCAGTCCTATGGTGGTGCATGGGACGGTAATTCAAACAAATTTTGAATGGTTATCGTAAGGCTCAGTTCTATGGTTTTTATACATACCCACTTCCCACACTCTATACAACTTATATGCAAATTTTAATGGCATTGAAAGTAACTCGTCAATTTTAATTATCTTTTCTCTTTTTCCAGTTTGAGTAATCAATATTCAAAACTAAGAAATTTTAACTAATGCTTTGCGCATTACGGGGAAGGTATGCATTTCAAAACAGACAAAATGTGAACGGGTAAAAGATTTAGATCGAAGGGTAATTACTCCTGAATTAAATATGCTTAAAATCTACACACATTTCAATTACATGTTTTACAAACATATGTAAATGTCGAAAAAACATTGTAACGGTAAAGGTAATGTTTAAGTATGCAAGAATACTAATGATTTTCCCATTCTAGGGGATCGAACGTACACCTTGCCCACTGACTCCCCAAGTTTGCGTATCGGAAGCGGTTAGCACAATTAGTGATCATATGTAGGTATGCTCGAATGTAAGTTGAACTAATGCAAAATTGCAATAGCTGTCTCAGTAAGTGGTTGTGTCGAGTTTCTGTGTGAATATATTTTGTGGGTTAAAAGGGTGCGATTTTTAAGCTATGTAGTGACCAACAAAGTGTAAAGTTGTTTGGCATATTGAAAGTTGAAAGAAAGATTTTATGAATTGCAGATTTTTCAAATCCATATCTAGGGATTATTTTAATAAAAATTTTGTATACGGTTCATATTGAAATCTATAATTGTAAATGCAAATGTGCTGCGATAGCTTTTTATTACCAGCATACTGTAGTTGGGCGTTAACGATCCATTTTATCAAATGTGTAATAGTAAGAAATAATGGATCTCACAATGAATGTTTTAGAATGATTTAAAAAACAAAAACATTTGATTTCTAATCTGTAATGATGGTCTTGATCTTCATAATTACGCTAAGTCTTATCTAAAAACCTTCGTCACTTTAGATAACTTGTTGCTATATTCTACATGAATTAACTTGTTGGTCACTATAGGCAAGAAGCGTGTGGTAAGGCGATTAAAGTATAAAAGGGTTTACAAAAGTAGCGCGTCGGTAAGCGCGTATCATCATTAGTCAGCGGAGTTGCTCATGGATTTGGTAAACAATTATGATTTAGTCAGCATAGTTGGTTGACAGACTAAACCAAAACGTTTTTGAATGAGTAGCTAATGGTATAGTATGGTGTGGTGTGGATTCCCTGCCGTTGTTTCATTTGTAAGTGGTTGGTAATATTCTCCAGATTAGCCATGAACGGCTACTATTGAAGCTCGTCAAGCATATCACTGGTAAATTTAAATGCACTTAGCATGTACCATATACACTTTTACTTACATTTTCATAATTGTGATTAAGTTACAGCGACTAATTGCCGACCAGCTAAGTGCCTATAATATTGGCTTCATATATCGACTAAAAATAAATAGTTAAAAAAAAGTCGAGTTTATTCTAAAACTAGTTCAGTTTATGTATAGCTCGAAAAAAGTGCAAAGCAAACTGAATATGATAACCAAACGAAGACTGGGTTTTTTTCAGTAAGTTCCTAATCTTTTAGTATTGGATATTTAGTGGAATCATTGTGCATTGTTTTAAAGCTTCTCTTGAAAAATATAGTTTTTCGAACGTAAAAATGTCTGTTTAATTTATAACTATTGGCTGTGGTTAAGTATATTTTCTATTTACTAATTCTATTGGTAAGAACTTCGCTCTATGTCGCAATCGCACAAAAAAAGATCTTTTGACAATAACAAATCTGCCGCCCCTGCAACGTAGATCCCACCATCGAGTGAATGCTCTTTGATATTTTTTATTTTTTTTTTTTCATAATTAATTTGGCGGGGTTCCGCCACACGTGACCCCTACATAAGTGAAATGGTGGTGGAAATTTTTTTGTAATACCATTATGTTGTTATGTACACAACAAATCACAAAAGTTTGAATACAGAGAATTTTTCTCAGTGTATGCAAAAAAATTGTTTCCCTGCTAACTTTATTAAAATATAGTTCACACTACAAAAAAAAAAAACATAAAATCTACGTTGTTTGCAAGACTCAGGAAAATTCTATAGATTTCGATACTAATTTGCAACTTTCTAGTTAAATTCTTTAGAAAAATTCTAAATGCTGTTTTACAGCTCCTTCAATTTTAGTATAACAAAGGGCAACTTTGAAGTTGCTCAAAATCGCGCTAATTTTAGGCAATTTTTTTCTTTCATAGAAAGTATTTTCGACAATTTCTTTTTTTGTTATGGAAGAAAATATTAACACCGTCTGCAAAGGAATTTGAAAGGAACTTCAAAATATAACCAAGGAATAAGGCAAGCTGGAACGATACTAGTGATAAGAAATACATACCTATAAACATAAGTTCAAGTCTTCAGCGAAAATATCGTTACCTTAATTCAAAAAACCCCTAAATAACATTTTATTTTTTTAATTTACAGGAGAAGGAAAACCGGCAGCACTTTTTAAAAAGTGGCATGTAGTAATTGCGTTTTTTTTTTTTGTACTAGCGCTTTAAATTTGTATTGAAGGTGTATTTTAATACATCTTACTAAAGCTGTGAAAAGTTTAAAAAAAGGTGTTGGTTAGGGTCTTTGGAATTAAGCTAGCGATATACTCCCATAGTAAAAATGAATAGATATCGTCACCCGTATGCCAGAAGCCTGAATTTGTAAAAATGAGAACTTTAGAAAATCAAGCTTGAAAGCTTTTTTTACGAGACCTCTATATTTATGTAATTCAAATTGTAAAATAAGTGGTTTCCGTGTATGCATGGTATTCTGGGTTTTGGTATAACATAGAACATCTAAAGATTAATCAAATCAACACATTAACTCAAAACTGATAAACTTTCACATTCATGCTTCTGGCATAAGGGTGACGAAATTTTTTTTCTAGTGGGCTACTGGTAATCGATACATCTATGAAATTTTTACACAAGATTGGCCAGGTAGCGTACTTAACTCGATATTTATATTTTTTTGATTATGACACTATTGAAGTAAACAAGCGATATGTACAGAGATACTTTGCCGACCTAAACGGGGTTAGATCGCCGAAACTACAGCCCTTGGTCGTGTAAAACCAGAGTCATTCCGGTACGTAGAACCGTCTGTCGTGGGAATGTACACAATAGCCCAACTTCGCTCTGGCTACTGCAGCAGGTTAAACTCCTACCTGAGCAGCCTAAACGCGGATGTGCCGAATGAGTGTCCGGCATGCGAAGAGACACCTGATGACTTGAAGCATCTCTTCGTATGTCCGGAAAACCCGACAACCCTAAGGCCTTTGTCCCTGTGGACCGACCCCATAGAGGCTGCACGCTTCTTAGGGCTGCCGTTAGTGGAACTTGACAACAACTGAGATATTAACCGATCTGGGCGGGGTTGTTGTAGCCGCTACAACAACAACAGCGATATGTTAAATGACTTGTTCCAACAGTTATTTCCTTTGTGTGTATATATGGATTCACTCGCATGAAATTAAATGCTTTGCTATACATTCTAAATATTTGGGTGAAATGGAATAAAATGTACATCTTTGTTATAAAATATCGCAAAAATTGCGCTTTATTCTCTTTTAAATACTATGTTGTTTAACAAATAGGTACCATTGTTCAACCACGAACAACAACTCTTCAACAATCAAAGGCTGAAAAACAATAAAAATCCGTGTTTTCTCTTCAAATAATCCTCACAGACCTTGCATATAAAGAATTTCAGTTAACACGTCAATATGTTAGTGCTTGGGTATATTTTTAATATGTTTTACCAGCTTTAAGCCTTTGCTAGCCATTCCTTAGGGTTTTGGAGCACTTCCAATAGCTTGCCCTCTCTTGAGTTAGGCTGCACCGTGTGCATGTATTCCCAGCGCGCCGTCAATGGCAATGACATTAAAATGCTCTCATATCTCGCGCCGGGTGTATACAGTCCAAATTTAGTACCCCTGTCGTAGATAAGATTAAATTCCACATATCGGCCACGTCGCAGAAGCTGCCATTGACGTTCACGCTCGCCGTAATCGTCGTTTTTGTGTTGGCGTATAAGTGGCAAGTAAGAAGGAATTACAGAACTCGCACAGCTTGTGACAAACTTAAATGCCTCCTTCTGACTTGGTGTGTCTATATCATCAAAAAATATACCGCCGATGCCACGACTTTCTTTTCTATGTGTAATACGGAAGTAATCGTCACACCACTTCTTAAAACGTGGGTAATAACTGGTGTCGTGTTCATCGCAGGCATCCTTTAGCGTCTTATGAAAATGTACTGCATCTTCCTCATTTAAGTAATATGGCGTAAGATCGGTGCCTCCTCCAAACCACCATTGCTTTTGTCCATCACTTTCCACTTCGAAGTAGCGATAATTAAAATGTATAGTCGGAACATAAGGATTTCGCGGATGTATAACCGCGCTTACACCAGCTGCAAAGAAAGGCAACTTCTTTCCCTCTTCCAATTTCTTACCGCGGGTTCTCATCTGCTGCACCGCACCTGGCGGCAACATGCCAGTCACTACAGATATGTTTACGCCTGCTTTCTCGAATACTTCACCATCTTGCAGAACGCAAGTAATGCCACCACCACCCTCGGCTCGTAACCAGCGGTCAACTATGAATTTTTGTCCCGCATACTCTTCGGCCTCTAGTGCACGGCAAAAATCTGCTTGTATTTTCATGATCATTAGTTCCATTTTAGTACGCATATCATCCTCATTGTCCATTAGCGTGCTTATATCCGTTATCGGTTCAGCCATATAGACGGAAGTGTTAAGCTTGCGTTTTCTAGCTGCTTCCATTTGAACAAAGGATACGGAAGCAGCGGTAGCGAAACCGACACCGAAAATTAAATATGGCACCTTACGAGCGCCATTACGTCTTGCCAGCTGATAGGCGGCTAAAGATGCTAAAGTTTGGCGTATACTTCTGGTGAAAGACATTGCACTAACTGGCAATAATCGCAACACAAATAATGTTTATCTTCATAAATGAAAGTTGCTATTAACGTATGATGGACGACGTGACTGCGACAAGGTAAATTGCTATGCTGTGTTGTAGCGGGACATTGATCACCTGTTGATCAGGGCTGCCAGATTGGCTTAAACCGTGCCATTTTTGGGCCTATTTTACTTGAAATGGCACTTAATCTTTCTATTTGGCACAAAGTGCCAAAATGTCACTTTTGAAATATAGTAATATTATAATACATTTTATTGAAATCCTTTGCGTGTTCTACTTTTTCTCAACTAAATTTTTCTAATTTTAATGCTTAATGAGAAGAACTAAAAATAATCCACCTTTTTGGGCGTTTATTTTTCTATTTGGCACATTTTGGCACTTTTTTATCCTTAATATGGCACTTCATAGCTAAGTAGAGTTGGCAGCCCTGCTGCTGATTTTGGCCAACCTGTTATATCAAGAATGATAGTGTCACTCGCGTTTTTGGGATCGATCAAGACGGACGTGCGATATTTGTGCTCTTATTGTAGCGTTCTTTTTTGCGGCCATTTTGTATTGGTGTCTTAGCTAACGGAGTTGAGCTAAGTCTATTTCTTTTATTTAAGAAAATTGTTGTAAAAATATTTATATCCTGATAAGAATTGAAGAAACAAGAATATATTAGGTTGCATTCTACTGCGATCAAGAGCTTGTATATAATTTTCTGTCATTTTGGAACTTTCTGGTAAGTGCGCTTGATTTTTGGATTCTGTTAACTTTTCTCACAAAATGGCGGGCGCTTCGGCGTCAGACATGGCTTGCGAATTCAGTGAAATGGCGGATGATTTTGATGCAGTCCTGATGGACACGGCCAATTCCCACTACATACACATACATACATACATAGATGGAGTCACAGATGTGAAAATTACAGGCTGGACACTGTACAAAATTGTGTTTGATTCAGCTGAAGCGGCTAATTTGTGTATCAATAATGTAAAAGTACGTGAAGCAGGTGTTAGGGCGTTCATTCCAAGGTCCTTCGTTGAGTCCTATGGAGTTGTTAGAAACATCCCTGAGGATTTCAGTTTTGAAGACATTTTTGCTAACATAACCTCAGATGTGCGAGTCACGGCAGTTGCCAGGATTAAGAGAAGGGATAGGGAAAATCGGGAAAATTTCTTGCCGACGCAGACGGTCAAAATTAGTACAAATCTATTTTACCTCCTTCAAAGTTATGCATTATTTTCCTCCAGCCAAACAGTGCTATAATTGTGGACGACTTGGGCACACGAAACTTGGTTGCCGTTCAAAAACGAGATGCATCCTCTGTGGAACCGAGGGAACGTGCAATGAAAGCTGTAAGAATAGGAAATGCATTCTGTGTAGGGATCCAACACATATCTCCTAACATAGGGATGTTTGGCCAACATGGCAAAAAGAAAAGGCAGTCATTGAAGTAATGAGCAAGAAAGAGGTGTTCCAGACTTATGCACAGCAGGGTACCCAAAACAGATTCCATTTATTTGAAAATTACGATGTAAACTTCCCTCCACCGACTGTCTGAAAGGACAGATTGTTAAATCCCAATACAGAGGTTAACAAAAGGCTATTAAAGAAAAGCTTCAGAGATGTTACTCGGAACGGCAAGACCACTGAGAGAGTTTTATCTCCAGTTAGAGAGCGAAGGAATCCTCCTCAAGCAATCATACCGTGCTTTGATAGACAAGGGTGGACCAAAGTGCCGGAATTAGAAAAAGTAATTGAACAACTATGTGTACGTTTCAATGTAATTAGCAGAGATCCTCTCATTGCTGCATTGTACAATCTGACTGATGAAAGATCAACACGGGAAAGCCTAACAGAACGGCTGGACAGATTTAGACAGATTTAGTCTGTTCCTTTGAACTTCGGACTAAAACCTGTGGAACTGTCAAACTACAATTTTACTCTCTCAAATGAGAGTAAAAGGAGAACAGATGCAGAAGTGCATAGGAACGCAAAAATCACTATTTCCTGTAAAAACGTCAGTCGGTTTGTTTACATGTCATTTGTACAACACTGATT